TTGTAACCTAGAGGGCCATTTAGCCAAAAAACATACAATAGGCAACCTTTTCCTTAGCATGGCAGGAAATGAATGCTGGAGGCAAGATTGCTCATGGACGCTGTAACAGAGAGTCTGGGGCAGGGGACATGTTTTTTCCAGAGTCCCTACAAAATAGCTTCCAAGTCTCTAACTATCTCTGCAGCACTGAGCAAGGGGACTCAAGAGTCCTGAGTTGAGTGATAAGCACCAGAGCCTGATTTTCTGGAATTTAATGTTATTTAATGTAAATATCTTCTACAGAAAGTAGTTAAAATAATTTCAAAATAATTTTTACAAAAAATTTCTTTTATTTGGGAAAGAAGTATTTTTTCTACTTCTTATTCCAGAAAGTTTTTGTTTTGGTTTGAAATTCAGAATTTCACAGGGAAGGGAACTAATGACAAATAACACCACCATGGATCAGAGCCATAGCCTATCAGGCGTATCAGTTAGTACAGCTGTCTTGTAATACTGTGACAATGTTTATACTCTAAATATATTTTCTTTTTATCCTGTTTTAAATGCCAGTAGCTACACAAGTTTAACTCCAGTGAGTTTTCTTCTCCAAAGCCATTCCTAATATACAAAGAGTACAGTAGCCACAGCACAGAGAATGTCATCAAATTTGCTGTAAGCGTCAGGTCATAGCCAGCAGGAAAATTGCCTTTGGTTGATGGGTGCAGTTACACCACCGCAGAGCTACGTTGGAACAGCTCTGAACATGGAGGCAGAGTTTTCCAGGATGTCATCACCTTCATTCAATGCCATTAACCTACACAGAGCTCACTGAAGATCTTTGCCTTTAGGCAGTTATAGTTTCATACAACAGAAGTGCATTACACAGCAGTCACTATGTTACACAATGGTCGCTCTTACACTAATTGCATTCAGTAATGACTTACATCACAGTAACTGTTAAGTCTGTGCTCCCAGTATTTCTTACAATAGGTGGAGAAGTGCATTTAATTCACAGGCTGATATATCTATATATCTATTTATCCAGGGTAAAATTAGAAAATGTTTCATGATGACCAATCCAGTTACCATAATCTTAAATGAAACATAACTTGCCTCCTCTAATACCTCAATTTCTAAATTTATCTTGTGTAGTTAAGCAAATGACATCCTATCCATTGGAAACCCCATCTATACTTTCTTCTATACAGTGTTATGCACATTGCATGTTCCTGATGCTGAACATATGCTCAAAAATGAGCCCAACAAAATTATGTTTGATGAACCATGTCACATTTTAATTACTTTTTCTAGAAGATCCTCTGTCAAAACAAGTATTACCATTAAGTAGGGTAAGATATTTTTTTAAGGAATAAACACACTGTTGGATATGGGTCGTGGTACTTCTCAGTCTGAGTGATTTTAGAGACTATTTTTTTACACTTTGCAGAGGATGAAATGATCCAGTCTCTAGAAATTACACACTCCAAAAGCTGAAAACAATCCAAGCTTATAATTATCTTCCTCTTCTTTTACATGGTTAATTCCTTTAAACAGACACTAATGAAACCATGGAAAAAATAGAAAACTTTAAAGGAACTACAGAGATAACCAGAAGAATTGTTAGGAGGTTTACAAGGAGAAGTTATGTCTAATGAGGAAAGCTAGGCAATCAGCTAAATCAGTCAAACAAAATTTAAAAGGATGCAGTTTGTGATATAGGTATATAGCAATGAGCCTGAACATGTTTATCTAGGCTATCCCCAGATCACTCTTGCAGACCCAGTTTGAAACTCAAAACTATGTGGATTATCTAATGAAAAATAAACATTGTAGGAGAGGTGCTCACTTACTGTAACATGGTATAATGCTGCAGAAGTTATGGGGATTACATGATTTTAAACTGAAAATATCTGAGGGTTGTATATATGTATATTTTAGCTGTGCATAATACTGTGACGTCCTTTGACTGCAGTAATGAGAAATTCTATTCCAAGTTTAAAAAAAAGAGGAAGAAAATCAGTATGAACAACAAAATCAGAAATGATTTGTAGCCTCACAGTCACCTGACACCCCAATAAGTGTGCTAGAGCAGCTGGTGAAAACCCCCTGAGACCTGGTGGATGACACTTGTTTCCAGGAATCTCAGACAAAATTGAATTTCCAGACTCACCTCATCTGAAATATTATACAATATGTCCATATAATAGCCTCAACGCTGCAGCTACAGGGCCTGAAGTGAAGGAGATTGAAAAGGACAAGAAGGAAAGAGACCACTCAAACCAGACAACAGATAGGACTAAGAAAATATCCACTGTCACTCAGACTTTAATGGTACACGAAACACTGAGATTTCAACCTTTTCAGGTTGAATGCTATACAGTGGTGGCATATTATACTACTACTTTGTTGTGTCATTTCAGGTTCTTTCTTCTAGGAAAGTTTTAAACTTAAAATTCTATGTCCAATATCTTGAAACTGGGAACTTTCAGCGTATGCTACATGTGTTACCAGGGACTTTCAAAATACATAGAAGAATTGGTTTATTTGAAACATTTCTATTTTACCATGCATGAATTTTTTGGACTGTCGTGGGAGTATAGGGTATGGGAAAGGAGAAGAGGAAACATGGGATAGAAGAGGGTGATTCTACAAGACACTGTAGCTTATTTGCATAGATGATGATTTTTGCTACATAATTTTTAGTATTTTTTAATATGCTAAATCTTATTTAGAATTTTAAAATATCTGTAAGCATATAGTGCACCAGAGAGCCTCTTAAAAATCTAAACAAATAAAGCGGCAAGAGCACTAATTTTAAAAGGTTAAAGGGATTGATAAAATGGTTGACTATGCCAGGTAATTGCATTAGCCTAGGAGGCTCTGTCAAAAGGAGTAAGTGGTCTTCTGCTGCTCCGATTAGTGACAGGAATCCATTGGGAAAAGCTTGAGTGTAATTAGAAAGGAGAGATTGAAAACAAAACCCCAAAAGTAACAGCATTTAGAAAAATCAGGAAATGCAGAAATAGGTAGCATGAAACATAATCGAAGGAGCATATTAGATGTTGTCAGTAGTTTCTTGTGCGGTATAGTTTAGAAAGAGTTGTAAACCAGGAAGGAAAGAGTAAATTATACAAATAGGTACTCCTCTCTTACCTTTTCTTAGTTTATTAGCAGAGAAATTAAGATATCACTGCAAAACAAACCAGAATCAATGGCAGAAGTAAAACCAAATTTGCCGAATATGAGCAATTTAAAGAAAATTTCAGACACATGCTGGAAAATCTGCTATAATCCACATGAAAAACACAAGTTTCAAAACAAGGCCCTCTTGCCTTCATTTAAAGCTCTGTTGAGTCATTAAAGTAAAATTTCTAGAAATACTGCCTCAGCTACACAGATAAACATGTTCACCATCTGTAAACTGTAGACTTAAAAAATGGCATGGAATTGACAAGAATTTAATTTCAAAGCACAAACCTGGCTAAATGAAAAGCAAATGGCATTGTATTTATGAAATCAGGATACAGCAAATAGTAGGGTATGTCTTTGACCCCGTGAACGCATCCTCAGATTTGCTGAAGCTCAGTCAGTGAACTAACTGTGACAACGCTGAGCTCAGTGTTACCTGATTTATTGATTTAAAGATAACTTCATCATTCTTACCTGATTTATTTATATTTAAACAATCCCAGGAACAATACCATACCAGTTTCACCCATACCCTCACTGCTGTGAACAGATCCGAACTCTGCATATGTAGAAAGAAACTGGCATTTCTAAGAGCATATCATTCCGCAGGAACTTTACAATAAATTTACATTAAGTGAAACAAAAAAAAGACGCCACACAAGTTAAAGCTAGTGGTGTATTTTCTGTTATGTCTACCATCATGTGGCTATACCTTTCATTCATTGAGATAATAGCACATAACAAAAACCACAAATGTAAGACAGATTAGCTTAAAAAAACCCCCACAAAATAACTGTAAGCATAACTTTGCAGTTTTCTATTTCTGTTGTATTGCTTGGCCTTATTGATAACATGGAATATAGTCAAGAAACTCCTCGTGTCTTTCTGCTGAAGCTCTACTACAGATGCATTTCAGACTAAGGCAGATCCTGTCAAAGCTATGTCTGACTGCTCGCTGTTCCCTCACTGATGGAGTTTCTCCTGCTCATTACTTTTTTTCTCGCTTCTAAACCCAGCTGTTAATTGCTTTAACCTTTAGTTGAATCCCTTGAACTCAGGAAATTTGCATTTTATTAAAACTAAGCTAACCACAATTTTAACATCCATTCTAATTAATGCAGTTATAACACTGTAAATGAGATTTTCAAGAATATTCGGAAATTGGTCTAACTCTTACATGTCAATTGGTCTAATTCTTACATGTCAGAATTTCTGAAAATCATATACATGGTATTGTCATTATAATGGGGTCTCCTTCTCAGAATTGTATGGCTACTGTCTCCTAAGCACCATATTGTAGTTACTGCTTTATATTTTTTAACACAATATTCCATAGTAACTAGAATTTAATATCAAATCTGGTTTTGGATGTAAGAATATTTAATTTATACTTAGTAAACCCATTTTATTTTGCCTCATTGATACAGAACACTGTAGGAAAGACTATCACAGCCAGGTATCCCTTTATTTTAATTTATGCATTTGCAATAGTATTGGTAAAATTAATGCAAAAAATACAAATTAAGATCCAGATATCAACATGCCAAATTTGGATTCTTGTGTTTCCCTCCCCCGCCCCAGGATAAATATATGACTTAGGAGAACTTACACAGCAATTATTCTGCACAGCTGTCAAGACGTTTTACAGAAGATCTTTTGTAGATGGGGAGAGTGAAGTATTAAAGAGCAACAATTTTTTTTTTCCAGATTACAAACTATTTAAAGAACAAGATTGGACTAGAAATCGGTGCGCATTTACATGGAATAGCTTTTGGCTTGTAACCAGGTCATCAAATTAGATGCATCATCACCCCAGGGTCTCATTATCGTCAATGGCCAAAGACCGGCTGAATAGTCCCTTGGAGCTGCCCATTAAGCATAAGTATCTACAGAGCCTACGTTACTTTCTTAATGTCCTAATTAAAAATTTAAGGTTAGGTAGAATGAGTCTTGGTAGTCCTGCACTGTGGGTACCTTTCAGCTCCAACTTGTGTCCCAACCACATCCTCCGGCTCGGAAGTAAAGCCAGTTACACACCTTCTCCTGCTTCCCACCCAGCATATCTCCGTGAAACGAAAACTAGATGGAGACCACAGTAGGTTTTCTGTGGTATTCTGCCAGGAATAGCATAGCTATTGACATTTCCAGACATGCATGCTCTAAAGTCTCCAAGCTAAGGACCTTAATCTGCGTGAGGCTGTAATGGCTGCGAGCGGAGCCACCAGGCCAACAGAAAAGCAGGTGCTCGTACTTGTGTTTGCATTTGGGAGCCTTAAGGAAGGCAAGGACTGCAGTCACAACATGGTCGTGATGGAAGTTTGGAAACTGTTCGTCTAAAAGCAAAGGCTTAAGTCAATGCTGTTTCTTCATCACTGTTTTTTCTTAGCAGACAAAAAAAAGCCACATTTTTGTTCATCCAAGTGAATAAAGGCTCTAAAAATCACTTTTTTCAACTTTGGTTTGCATTCGTGAGTGGGATCCCATAGTCAAAATGTTTTCACTGTCATTTTATCATATTGTCTGACTTATATTTGATTTCACCATTAATTCCCTTTCAAAAGATACTTCCTTCTGCATCCTCCAGTTAAATATAAGTTGCTGGTCCCATGTAGATTTGAACAGCATTAAAACAGAGCTATTCTCTAGTTTGCTACTATGATTCCCGTGCTATTTGACAGCATACCTCTAAATCTATTTACTTGGATGGAGGATTTAAAATTCAGTGTTCTGTTTCCTGTTATGACTGCTACATCCTAGATCATTAGATTAAAAAAAAATTGCCACCATCACTGCCCTCTGTAGCAATTCTGTAAATCTATGAAACAGTTTTATTGCAAGTGCACAAATAAGTAGTGTTCCAATACAAGCCGAATGAAGACTTTGCTTGAGCTAATCATGCTTGCCTTTTTTTTTAGTAAAAAACTTGGGGAAATACTGTTCGGGGACAATCTTTACAATGAATATATGTCTTTAAATATTTGGTCCCCGACTTGAACGAATCAAATTTTCATGTAGCATTAGTAAAAGATAGCAAAGTACTGCCTTCCCAATTTTAGACAAGTGAAGGAGAACTGATCATATATAGTAAGAAGAACTCCTAGTGGGAAGATGTTAGTAGAGCCACATCTGTATGGGACCCTGTCATGGTTTAACCTCAGTTGGCAACTAAGCACCACGCAGCTGCTCGCTCACTCCCCCCCCCCAGTGGGATGGGGGAGAGAATTGGAAAAGCACAAGTGAGAAAAACTCGTGGGTTGAGATAAAAACAGTTTAATCGGTAAAGCAAAAGCCGTGCACGCAAGCAAAGCAAAACAAGGAATTCATTCACTACTTCCCATCGGCAGGCAGGGGTTCAGCCATCTCCAGGAAAGCAGGGCTCCATCACGCATAACGGTTACTTGGGAAGACAAACGCCATCACTCCAAACGTCCCCCCCTTCCTTCTTCTTCCCCCAGCTTTATATACTGAGCATGACGTCCCATGGTATGGAATATCCCTTTGGCCAGTTTGGGTCAGCTGTCCTGGCTGTGCCCCCTCCCAGCTTCTTGTGCAGCTGCAGCCTTCTCAGTTGGTAGAGCATGGGAAGCTGAAAAGTCCTTGACTAGTGTAAGCATTACCTAGCAACAACTAAAACATCGGTGTGTTATCAACATTGTTCTCATCCTAAATCCAAACCACAGCACTGTACCAGCCACCAGGAAGGAAATCAACTCTATCCCTGCCGAAACCAGGACAGACCCTGTCTCCTGAAAGCAGAACACATTCCACTAAAAAGCATGTCTGCTCCTGTGAGACACCTTGTCTATCAGTGAGTTACTATTCCACTATTTTTTCTGCCAAGACCGTTGAGAAGCTGGAAGAACTTGGGAGTCTTAGTTTTTAAAAGAAAATGACTGTCTTTTCCACTCTCTTTCACAGACAGGGATGAAAGAAGTACTATTTAAGCTAAAAGGATGATGCTGGCACAAGAACACACAATGCGTGTGGGCACAAATCGGTGACAGATACATTTGTGATGAACATTAGGAAGTGTTTAAGCATAAGAGAAGTGACATCCTGGAAAAGGTGTATGGAGAAGGACATCCAAAAAAACACTCTAGTGCAGGAACAGGCTTTACAATATTAGTAGCACAGCATGCTATGAGACCATGACTGCAGTTTTTAGCCGTTAAGCAAATATGTAATATGAAAGCTTTGGCTGACACCTCACCGTTTAGAGTTTTTAGGTTTCTATTACTGGAGCTGTTACACATTTTCATATTACAAACATGTTTGACTGCTTCTGGTAGCTTGAAGAATAGCAGGTCTCCAACGGCGGCACATTGCCTGGCAATACTCAGAGCTGTAAACTACATTCCCTCACCTGTCATACTATCAGAGATCAAAGTAAAACATCATTAAGCTGAACAATTCACTGATCAATTAAAAAAGTGAAGACGTTTTAACATAATAGCAGTGACCTTAGCCCACTGAGAGTCTTTGACAAGTGCCACTGAGATGTTGGAGAAATTATGCATTATGTGGATGGAAAGTTATATATCAGTAAGAAATATCATCATCTTGAGGCATTACTATATTGTAAAAAAGGACTTTTATTCTGCACTTCTGCATTCACAGATCTTCACAGGGAATGTAAAATAAAGAAGTAGTATGAAATTACTACTTAATATCTCAGTATTAAGCATTGCTATGCAAAAATAATGGCACAGGCAGGTGCCAGTGAATTTTTAATTATTTAGAAGCAGATCTTTCATACCGTAGGTAGAGGTTTGGTAGGTCAGCACAGTAAAAGAAAACATCCCGTCTTAATATAAACCTTCAGTTTGGAAAACAATTTTTATTGTCCTTTTGCAGGTGTAAGGAGGGTGCCTGCAGAAGCGGGGCTGGCACAAACGCAGCCCGCTCTCGGCCGTCAGGACCTCCTCATGGGGGGCAGCCGGGGAGGACGCCCGCCCCTGGCTGCGCAGTCCTACCCTCCGTAAAATCTTCATCTTGTACTTCTACAGTATCCCAGAGAGGTAAGGTTTGCAGGGAGGGACAGTCTGTCAGCCCACGCGATGAAGTTGGCAAGAACAGGGAAGTTTTGGGGCACAAAGTCTTTTCTAAAGCTTGGTGAGAAGTCACACCGTCCAAACCAAAGGAGGACTGATCTCCAGCACTTCTCATTTAATAGTATAGAAATGAATTAAAACACTTGAGAGAAAAAGGTTATCGGCGCCTGAAAAGCAAGACGTAATAAGGCCTAAAGATGGTGTCTCTACTGAGTCTGCGATGCTCGGAGCTTAACAGTCACAAATGATCTTCCATAGGCCCATGGTCTGGGTCCTGACCTCTTAGCACAAGCCTGCTTCAAGGCGGCACCGGAGCAGCCCTGCAGTCCGGGCCAACCCGCACCTTTGGGCTCTCGCTCTGTTTGTTTTCGGGGGAAAAAAAGGCCACGT